GTGCCTGATTTGTTCCTGTGTGTCTAATGTAAGGAGTGTATTTTTAATGATAACTCTACGTTGGTCTGCAATGCGTTGTTCTGTCAAGTGTGCTAAATGTGGGTATTGTGTAATGAACGCGTGATATAGTTTACCTCTGTATGCTGTCCTGTCCGTTTCCATCTTCGTGATTATTATTATTATTATTATTATTAAACATGAGAACACTTGCTAAAGGTACCATGAATGAAAATTTATTTTAAAAAAAAACAAAAAGAAAGGTAAAAAGACACTCATCCGTGATGTAAATTGTCCATGCACTCATGTTCACAAGTAGACGGATGCTGCTAAACGTTGATATCTGTCTATCAGCAAAACTGACACCTGACATTTCTGAAACCTATTTACCCAGTTTTATTGTACCCATTCACAATCAAGGTTTTTTTCATTTGGAAAGGAAACCTTTTAGCACGTACAAATAATATTTCAATAGGAATATAAAAGTCTAAATAAAATTTTAACAATTATTATTTGTTAATAGCTGCAAGTTAAGTTTCCTAGTTCTCTAACCTTCGATGTCGTCCATTTAAAGGACACATAACGAAATACGTATTTATTGTCTTAAAAGAATCTCAAGTAAATTATAATCATATTTGAACGTAAAACAAATAGATTCTTGAGAGTAAAATTAAAGAGATAAGAACTGTAAAGTAACGAAACAAGCAAAAAATGTTGATAAATATCGTGAAAAAAATTGATCTTGCTATAAATTATATGGCTATTATTTAAATAATATACTGAAATTGTGAAGAGAAATAACACCAAAATCTACCCATTTATTATTATAACAATTTTAATGGGGAGATTTTGGTGTTATTTCTTCGAAGCTAAATAATATACGGTGGTGCATTAGAAACCATACATAGCTATTTCTGTAAATTAAAATAATTTTCAAAAAACGCTTTGGCACGTCAAATTGATCATGGATGGAAACAGTGTCTAAAATAAAACTTGCTCACTGATGTCTTTGTCTCGCATCGCTAACAGTGCAACCCTTAAAATCTTAAATGATGCATTGTTGGTAAAATCGCCCATCTCTGAATTCGGATATGTAATTATTTTGGTTTAGTTGTTTCATTTCCAGCGCATTCGACGTTGCAGGTACAAGTTTTCTCTTTTTTATACCACTTGTAACTGCATAATTTTGACGCACGATCGCATTAGCTTCTATTACATAGTGATCGGCCCAACATCCTTCCAATGACATAAACAACAGCGCACCCTCAACTTACTTTTCAAATATTTCGAAAATATCAAATCTAAAAAATTATAGTCTCACCAAATTCAGAGAAGGAAAGCCTTTCCAATGATGTCCTATCTTCCTTGTTGCGCAATTGCCAATGCTAAGGGTTTTGCTTCAGTACTAGGTATATGCCATACAAAAATTAAAAAGGAAGTATATAGGTACTTAATATTTACAAACATTTAAAAGAAAAAATCATCAATATCGACCTGTTCCTAAAACGTTTCAAGATTTTCAAAACCCTTACTGTTTTGATTATTAACAATCTCTTAAAAAAATGCCAGAATTTTTCCATGTATCTCTTCAAACTATAAAATAAATAACAGTAAGAAAATCAAAAAAAAACTTTTAAGTTCATTCACTACCACAATTGTAGCAAAGATAACGCAAAAAAATAAGCAGTTAGTGTAATTTTACTCAGTCACCAATAATCAACATATAGCCATATGTGATCAAAGAAACGTAAAACTGGTTCTAAGAAAACTGGAAACTTACCTTTTCTGAACACCACCACAGCACTACCACCAGAAATAAAATTATTTAAAATTAAAAAAAAGTATACGCAAAATCAAAACCCGTGCTCAGATAAATTTTAAAATACCACTCTGTCAAACGTTCAAGAATGAAGATACTATACAGGCGTTAAAGTTCTAATTAGTTGTGGTCATACGTACTTAAACCTGAGTTTTCGGACCTAATTACTTTTACCTTGTAATAAACCCTATTCATCTTCCAGAAATAATAGAAAGGATGTCATTACGATATTTCTCTTATTGTTTCTTTATGAAGTGCAATCTGTGTTATCGGTGTCTTTTCAAATTCTGTAAAGGCAATCGTCTAGTAGCCTCTTAAAAATATTTAATTTTAATAAACCAAGGATTTACAGAATTATCCGGGTGTGAATTATTCGGGAGCGAATTTTTCGAGTGCGAATGGTCCGGCTGCGAATTATCCGGGAGCGAAATGTCCGCACACGGCGTATATGATGTGTCGTATCGTACTGCAGATTGATTTCAAGGATCTTAAAAAGACATAGCCATTGTATTTGGAAAACAAAAATTGCCTCGATTTCCGGCTTAACCAGACGTTATACCGGAATATGCGATGGGAATGATCGCGATGTCGCATACAAACTTATATTTGCCCCTTTTTACGAATCCCGCCTAATAAAAGAGACCGTTGTGAAAAGAGCGGGCCATTTCCAGCAGACCAAATTTCCGAAGACGCCCGAAGTATAAATTGTCTTTACAATACAAATGTCAATGTCAATACATTGTTACAGAATTAAAAATAATAATCAATAATAATAATTTAGAATACATATGATCCCGTTGCACCGCTATTCAAGGGGTTGAAAAACACACCCCCGTATATTATCGCGAGAACGGCACATAGTATCACGACCAAATTTACGTGAGAGCTTGATAACAATTCTACAATTAATATTTAAAAAAAACATTCCCGTGCACGGCCGTCCAAGGGGTTGAAAAACTCACCCCCGTATATTATCTCGAGAACGGCACATAGTATCACGATGATATTTACGTGAGAGCTTGATAACAATTCCACAATTAATATTCAAGAAAAACACCCCTTTGCACGGCCGTCCAAGGCGTTGAAAAACTCACCCCCGTATATTATCTAGAGAACGGCACATAGTATCACGGCCAAATTTACAGTCCAGTCAAATTTACAAAGTCAAATGATGATTTGAGCTGGTTGTTGTGTTCACTTAACGAAACCAAGTGCTATGTAAAAAAAAATCCGCTGAATCCGAAAATCGTAGTCCCCCTGACCGGAAACTCCCGGAACATTTGTTATAAACAAAAAACGAAGAAAAACTGGCAAAATGCCGTTTCTACACTTGATCTCGTTGAGTGAAATGACAACAATATGTAGTTTAGACTACTTTTGGAGCTAATTGGTTGGAATAATACGAAAAATCGTAAATATAAAAGAACTTGAAACAATATTTATGAAAGGTTAGACAAAACGAAAACCGATGCAATGCGAGAAAAGTAAGTTACAGCAAATGGTATCCGGTACAGTACAAAACCCAACTAAAAACATACGATGGTCTATTGGCCCTAGTCGGGTGCCATATAGAAAAATTAAAAATCTTCCAGTTTTTTCCGAGTTACAATAAAACTTTCAATAATCTAGTGCCCAAATAAGGAAAAAGTCATAAAACCACACATTTCTGTTGCCACAAATAAGGTAAATATATAGATTTAGATCTCATGGCGCCTATGAACTGAATCTGAAATTACGTATAAAATGAGAAAATATTTTATAATAAACTAGCTGACCCGACGGACGTTGTCCTCTTTCCTAGCTATGCACTCCTAATCAATTTGAACTGGAATAAATAATAACAAAAAATTATTTCAAGAAATTCGCTGTGCCTAGCGCAGGTATCACCCGCCCCACCTGCGCATGCGCGATTCTGCCCTTTTATGTCTAAGAATATGTGTACCAAATTTGGTTCCAATCGGTTCAACCGTTTAGCCGGAAAAGAGATTTTGATACACTTGCCCCAAAATCTCCCCATCTCTCCCCAAAATAATAAAAAATAAACGCACTCACTTCTACGTTGCTTTTGGCGATCCAGGGCTAGAAATGTTGAAATTTATTTTTAAATTTGCGGGTATACCAAAAGCTTTGCGGGTATACCAAAAGCTTAATAAAACATGTCAAAACAGTTTTGTATGCACCTTTTAATTCTGAATAACTTTAAACTCTACAGTTTTTTCTGTAAAATGTACAGGAGGGCAGGATATTGCATAAAACTAATTTCCCATCTTAAATCCCTATTCCTACTTACCGTGCACCATCCGGTATGTTTGACTTGTATAGGATTACAAATTCTGCGACCTAAGTTGGTGCCATGTTTGTACGTCTGATTAGTACCATCTTGAAAAAACTAAAATTCAACTGAAAATAGAAATTAATTCCCTAGTGTTTCTGTATGACTATGTATACCACGTGTTTAGGCTATCAACATTCAACACTTACCAAAAATGGATATTAGGTATATTAAACTTTTAATACTCGTATAAAAGGCGTGATTGAAGTGAAATAACATCAACATTTCTCAAAAAACTCACTGAAATCTGGATAAACTTTCCGACCGAATTGACAGAACACAAATTAATTTTTTGGCGGATATATGCCGATCGATGTAGCTGTTAAAACAATTGCTGCCGCACCGTCAAACGCGCGATGTTTAAATAGTCGTTAAGTTTTCTCCAATTTTCCAATTTTCTGCGCGATTTTCTTAGTTTTTCTTGCCGTATTCTACACAGCATTAGAAAACTTTTAAAAAAAAGATGAATGAAATCGGTAAAGTCGTTCTAAAGTTATTGCGTGACCAGAAAAAACAGGGGTTCATTTTTATATATAGAGATAAATTGAAGGTCGCCTTTGTATCTCTGCTAATTATCTGTTATATTCCTTTAAATATTATTGGTACGTACCTTTTTGCCATGTTGTCTAATTGAGGATTATACTTTCATTGGGAGTATACATGTAACTTTTTATATTTTCCGCTGTTTTTTAAGCCTACTAAGTATACAGGGTGATTCCTATAGTACCTGCCACCGTTTGGGAGCGTG